CACTCAAATGCCCCTATGTGGAGGCAAGCTGCAGATATGTTATGTAGAAAAGTAGCTGTGTCCTCTAAATATGAAGATAGTCACAGATACGGTCATTTGAATAATTGACGGAATGGTGGAAGTGAGAGCCATGCATCATTGTCATATCTCTGAATAATACCCAGAAAAACAGGGAATCCCCGTACAGGGAATCTAATAAAGCACATGTCATGCACTGTTTGACCTCTCACAACAGGATGACCTGAGACACAACATCTTTAAATTTACACAAGTCATGTAAACCCACTGTCACTGATAATGGCAACATGGTAGTCTGTGCCAGGGTTGGACAGTAGTTAGGATGGGGCCTAGTGCCAGATTTTGCATTGAATCAGCCACTGTATGTTTTATTGTATCATCACATGATCAAATATAGAATTGACGTTGGACAGTATCAACATACATATTACCAATGATCAGCGCAAATCTGTATCTGAAAAAGGTACCAAATAAAATGAGAAATTATTCATTAATTGGATTTGTTAAACAGTTTATTTGTAGATTATATCGTTTATCTAAAATGACCATATAATTTTATTGTAGATCGAAGAATTATTGACGAAGATGGGGAGAAAATAGGGAGTGCTGCACTGGGTTAGGGCTCTATGTAGTTAGTCAGCCAGGGTTTACCCAGGGTACCTTGCACGTCATATCTGGACGTAGAAAGGTCCATGACCAAACGTCAATATGTGATGAGGTCGGAGCAAGTATGTGTTGATAAAACATGTCATCAGTGCTATTGTACATTTAAAAGAGAGCATATAAAAACACTCAAGGGTTCAACCTCACTAATACTAGTTCATTTCGTCGTGTTTCTGAGGTGGCGATTTGAATCAGTTGCAAGGACCCATTCTCTGGTCTAGAGAGAGCAGGCTGTCCAACCACTCTCTCTACTGGCCCCCCTACCTCATCAGCCCTAGTGCAACAGTACAGGCAGGCAGTGGCCTGTACTATGTGTGGTTGGATTCCAACCTGCGACCCTTTGCCGCGTGTCATCCCCCATTTCCTGTCACCCTCCAGCTGTTCTGTCCACTGTATTCCTAGCCCCCATGATACCTTGCGTGAATTATGTGTGTAACTATGTGGTAACAGTTTGTTAACAGTAATTTATTCTTCTTTCCAAGAACACACCACCTGTTATAGCTCAGACAGGATTATGTGATCTACCTTTCTGCTCATACCATCTCTGACAGCCATTTCAAAGCATTGTTTTTTTCCCCTTCGCAACCGAGCATGCTAGCAATTAGCTTGCCTTGCCACACTAAAATATTGTTAACTTTAACATGGCCCGAGCTAACTTAAGGTAACATCTGCTCCTTCTAAAGATGATTTCTGATTTCTGATGATAAAAGACGGGGATATCATGTACTGATGTTGCGTGACGGACCTGTCAGTCTACGTGTCATTCTCTTCTGCTAATTCTGATTTAACACTTTTTCGCTAGGTCTGGTGAAACTCTTGTGGTTTGATTTCTCATATCAGTGATTACCATGGCAACAGGAACAATCCATTTTTGTTCTGGTCACATGTTCAACACGGTTGCTGAAGACACAATTTTAGTTTAGACTGGTTGTTAGTCGTTACAGACACGTTCAGTGCAACAGGGGGTCAGCCAGTCGCGGTGCACCATACACCCGCCGCGACCGGCTCTGGGTCAGCTGGGAAAGGCTTGAGGCGGAGCAGGCTCACGGCTTATGTGTTTGTCACTTTCTTTTTCATTTTAACCCACACCATGATCTTTTCCTAACCTTAACCAAGTGGTTTTTGTGCCTAAACCTAACCAGACCTTAACCACAGGGCATCATGATGATTTCGGAACGGACTTCGGAACAATGTGTTTAATATGGTCGGAACAATGGGCTGTTGGACCAATGGGCAGTTCCCGCAACAGGTACCAGAGCTCTGCAAAGACATTTCAGAAAATACTAAGTTAACATTAGTTAAATATGAAAATAAATCAGTATTTGCTAAATTGAAGGAAAATTACTTTCGATAACAGCCAGCGTTGGCGGTTAGCCACCAAGAGTAGCCACTGGGACGAACCACAGTCAGTCTATGGGACTAACTAACTTAATGCTACCTCCGCTATCTCACAGGACGTTGTGCCCATAATCATTTCTATAGTAGTGCCCTCAGGAATAAGGTGGATAATAAAGGTAAAAGCTGTTAAAAAAATGTACGTACCAACAAAAGCCAAAAATGGCAAAAAGAAAACCTTCAACAGTTTCTACAATCAGGCTTACATCTCACCATCTGCATCGCCAATTTCTCAAAAATGTTCATGAGCATGGGTCAAAGTTTCTCCCATTAAGTCAGTTTTATAGATTTGTTTTTACAACTTTTGCATGGGCCGTGGTGTACGCCTCTTTCTGGGCTTGTTTTGTGTGTACACGATGTTCATAAATGAGACCCCCGGTGTGTGCAGTCCTGGAATATGAACCCAGAACAAACTGCTCCCAGAAAAGTGTCAGAAATATTTCTGAAGTACGTTGTAGAGATGGACGTTATAAAAAGCCACTCTGATTTATCATGGCAGGCACGGCCACATGTGTTACTAATAACATTAACAATGGCTCTGTTATACAAGTGTAATATGCCGTGACAGTGTGACAGTGCGCCAGCATGCACAATACCAGGACCGTGAAACTGAGGCAGCTCCATGGAATTTCAACCATCATTAATTGCGTTATTTATATTTGTGTTTTCCTTCTGTCACATGCCAGAAAAGGCCTCTGGACAAATTCTCTTCTGCTCAGCTCAAGAATTTTCCTCCACACACTTGACCTCTGGGTCAAAATCTCATCATGTGTCAGACAGAAGAGTCCTCAGACATTTCTGTGATTGGCTACTGCCCTCTAGTGTTCTGTTAAAGTATTGCAGCAGCACTGATGCACTGGGAGGGCTCAGATCTAAGTTAAAAAGCCAATCAGATTATTTAGCGGGAGACCGGCACCGTGATGGTCACGTGACAAACGGAAACAGCCGAACTTCAACTTGATGAACCCTTTACTGTTTGGAGCTGTAATGACGACATGTTGTCAAATACACAGCCAATGACGGGATTAAAAAATAAATTTATTTAACTACGCAGTCACAGAACAACTTTGAGGAACTTGTACTTTACTTTATAAAAACTATACAGCTCTCTCATTCTTTAACAGGTGAATTCTACATATTTGCTGTAGTATTTTATAATATCTGTTTATATTTTATTGTAATTTTTCTATTCTATATTTATGTTTTTGATCTTTACAGTATTTTTCCTTTATTTTTTTTAATTCTTAGTGTTTGCAGCAAGTGAAAACCTACTTGGCAGTAAGCCTTATTTAATTTTGAGTCTGCTTTATTGCATTTCATAGTCAAATATTGCACTTTTTACTCTAGAGGATTATCTATAGATTAAAAGTTTATGATGCACTGTTAAAGACCGAACTACCAAACATGAAGCTGCATATGCATCACCCAGCTACATCATTAAAATGCCCCCTTACATGTCATGCATCAGTAATAATATTAACCAAATCATATCATATAACAGAGGATATGCTTCAAGTTTAAGTTACTTATTTATCATGGTGGAGCCTAAGACTTTCATTTAATTATCATATTAAATATACAGGCCTACACTAAAAAGAAAAGGAAAACCAAAGTTAAAACAAAATGTGAATCTAAACATAGAATACTGCAAGTAGAAATAAGATATGTAATATAACATAAATTGCATATAAAATCAAGTAATACAAATTAGACATTTCAACTGAATATAACTGAATGTAAACAGGAATGTAATAAAAATATATTTGCATAGAGTTGTAAAATAGCCTAACTAAAGATAAATAGAAGGTAAAGTGACAGTACCTATAATGATAAAAAGCATTCTGCATTTAAATATTAATATTTGTCACATTTTGCCAATACTTTATAGGCCACGATTTCAGAAGGATTTTGAATGCAGCAATATTTATACAAAGGATCAGAGAACTTCTTCTACCACTGGCCAATTGTAATCTATAGAAAATGACTATGTATAATATTCTATAACATTCAGTGTCGTAAGGAAGTTAGGATGAGCCCCAGTGCATGATATGGTGCACGTATTGTCTTGACACAAATAGAGACTTGACATTGAACAACATCAACATACATATTACCCAGCAATCATCACTGAATATCTGACAAAAATATCAAGGACAATTGAATATTGAAGACATTTAATTGAACAGATTTTATATCTTATGTAGAGAAAGTCTGGAACAATCTGCCCAAGGAAATCAGGTCAGTCGAGTCAGCGATCTCTTTTAAATCCCTTCTTAAAACAAACTTTTATTGGAGAACCTTTCCGGATTTTACTTAAGTTTTAAGTTAATCTCAACTGTTTTTTTAATTCCTCCATTTTGTTTTTATCTGTTCTTTTAAAATGTGTTGTTGTCATGTCTTGTCTGTTTTAATTATTGACATGTAAAACACTTAGTAACTGTTTTGAAAAGTGCTCTGTAAATAAAGATTATTATTATACAGATTATTTTAAAAAAAAAATTAAAATGGAGTTAAACATGGTGTGGATGGGTTTGCCTTTTTGTTGACATATATAGCAAATGGCACCATTTTTAAAATAGTCATTTGTTTAATTATTCCTCTTTGAACACAAGAATATATTCAAGGTGAATCTGAATAACTTGCAAGGGCCCCTCCGCCCCAGGGGCCCCACTGCACTGTTTATATTAACGCCCCTGCTGGAAGTGCTAGCAGATTAGCTTCAGTGCTAACTCGGCTCCTTCCGCCGACCACGTGACTCTGCAGTTCGGTCGCAGCGGTTCCCCTGAGACTCCCCCCCCCTCCCTCCCCGCCGCATTCTAGGTTGGTCAAAACATTTTCGGAGCTCCGATTGGTCAGCGACATGGAACTCTCTACTCTGATTGGTCGTCTGAGACAGGGAGGTCCGGTTCTTTTTGAGCGTTCTTCCGGCTTACATGTTGGGGGAAAAAAAGAAAAGACGAATGGAAAAATTGTAATCCACAAAACGACCCTTGCCTTGTACCTCAGCGATACGGTAACATCCACACACATGTAGAAACATGTTCGCTTGTTGAGCCCGGCGAAGTTTACGCCTTTGTACTCTGTAGAAAGTTCAGGATTTAGCACGGAAAGCAGGCGGCAACAGCGGGGTTAGCATTCTAACGTTAGCATTCTGCTAAGCTAAGATAGCTGGCTAACAAGGTAGCTTTCTAGTTTTTAAGATTACCGAGCAACAGTGAGCGTTTTCTGACACAGCGGATATCGCGTTTGGTTGTTTTGTTGTTGGCAGTCGAAAAGTCGTTTTTGTACCAGCAGGTAAACTTGATATTTGATAAGCAACGATACAGTTGTTGTCGGGCAGTTTTGTCATATGATATTGGCCATATAACGGTAAACAAAGGTCCACAGAAATGCTGTTGTCCTGTTTTTCACAGTGAAATGTATTTGTGAAGGTTTCAGTTTGTAGCAGCACCAGTTGGTTTGTGTTACCGACTTGCTGCTTTGCTAGCTGCAAAGCATAATACTCCGCAGTGCTACATTACCCTCAGTGTCCCCGCGTCGCCTGTAAATGGTTAAACTGGTTGGCTTTTGTTATTGTAGCACTGTCGTACGTGTTTAATTTGAGAGTTGCAGCTATTAACTGATGTTTTAAAGATGTCCTAAGTGTTTGCAACATCTTTGCCTAGACGTCCATTGCTAATGAAATAGAAATCACCAGAACCGCCCTCTCACATTCTGGAGATAAAATACATTTTTAATTATTTATAGCTTGAAAGAAAAAAGCAGATTTAAACAGAAAGGCTCTTCCAAGAAATTTACAAAGATTTGTGGCACTTCTTTGTCATGCAGTTAAATTACCTTCCCAGTTATCCCCCATTTTATCTTATTTCAAGGTGTCTACAGGTCCTTTAAAAAGTCTTAATATGTCTTTTATTCTAAGTAGTCTTTAAGTTGAATTTTTGAGGTCTTAACAACTACAAACATTTTATCTAATTTTATTTATCCTTTTTTTTAATTTCTTATTGTGAGAGTACACATTTCTAATGCTATAATACTGTTATTTTACTTCAGAATTGCACTAACCTGTTGGCAAATTGTAGGTTAACTTAACTCGCTCTACTAACCATTTTTCTATGTAAAATTTATCTCTACACAAGACCACATATTTACTACTTGTCTGCAATGCTCACCTGCGATGCTTGATTAAGTAAAACATGATTTGCCTAAAAATCCCTCCAAAATTTGGTTAAAAAGGTGTCTTGAACAGGTCTTAAAAGACATTCAATTTAACTGTCTGATTCCTGTAGACACCCTGTATTTAGATTAGGGCTGCAACGATTAGTCAACAAATCGATGACTAATTGAGTATTAAGATAATCGCTGACTATTTTAGTATTCGACTAATAGGTTTGAGTCATTCTTCATAGAAAAGTACTATAAAAGTACCCAAAAATATTCTTATTGCAGCTTCCTACTTTCAAATAGTGGCAGCTTTACACACTCTCCCATGATGGTGAGCTAAAACCCTTTGGCGTGAGTACAAAACAAGATGACATAATTTTGGGGTTTGGGAGAGACAGACCGACATTTTTCTACATTTAAATATATTTTTTTGATAAAATGATTAGTCGACTAATTGAAGAAATAATCCACAGATTAGTTGACAATGAAAATAATCGTTAGTTGCAGCCCTAATTTAGATATTATTTATATTCTGACCTGAAGGGTGAGGTTATGTTTAGTGTAATATGTGAAATATGACCAAGCTGACTGTTGGTGTTGTGTTTTCATTGTAGTTACAATGTATTGTATGTTGTTTTTGCTGCTGCACTACTACAACATGACTCTGTCGCTCACAAGTGTTTTAAAATTATTGTAGATTTTTGTATAGACAAAGTTGATTTAAAGATAATATCTTCAGTATGTCTGTGCCGGAATAGATGTACATTCTTGGCATTGTTTCAGGTCACTAATTAGTTAAAATGAGCTCCCAGCAATTCCCCCGTCATGGGCTGCCTGCTTCCAGCGGGGGAGCACCTCAGATCCCCACTGCTGGAAACCTGGTGTCTGTCAATCAGCCGTCAAATCCACCAGGTAACCTATAGTCACTGAAGTGAGTTGCCAGATATTTCACACATGGCGAGCAAGTAAATGTTGAATCAGATGTGTTTTTCCTTAGCTGGAACAGATGCTGAGAGCAGTCGGGATGCTGACCATGGACAGCAGGATCATCCACCTGCCGGGGGCGGGGGAACCTTGGCGTTCAGAGATGACAAGCAAGAGACGATGGTAGTCAGACCTTACCCACAAGTACAGACGCACGGCCAGCCACAAGCTACCCCCCAAACCGTGCCCATTCAGCCCGGCACACCTGTGACTGTACCTGCCCCCTCTGTCCACCTCCCACAGGGCCAGCCTGCAGTCCTCACTGAGGGACAGATGAAGGTAACGATATATGTCTGTTACTTTAAAAAGCTTTATATACATGTTAACAGTAAAGGGTGTGTGAACGTAGTTAAATCATTGGCAAAGATAGAATGCATTCTGTGGTTAGAGGACAACACATTGTTGCTGACCAAGGTTGATTTATTCATCCAGAAAGTGTCGAATCACAGCTGGCTCCTGTAAGATAACCTTTCTGAAGGTGGAAGCTCAGATTGTTGGGATGACTCAGGGCTGTTAAGGGACCAACGCTCTGTAATGATTATCTTTAATTTTGAAACAGTTCACGATGGAACTATTTCCCTTCCTCTTTCCATCCTTGTGCCCTCCAGACAGAGTCGGGCAGGTTTCATTTTACTTCATACTTGGGAGAAGCCATTGTGGCCAGTTAGCTCTAGAGGAGGGACAATGGAATGACCAGGAAAATTATGACAATAGCAAGTACAACTTCCAAAATTTTCAGCTTCATATAGTTCTTGTGACGTAATTTAATTCAGAAGGATCAGCTCAACGACTATGAAGATATTATAACAAAAAAGTGACTGATACAATTTACTGTAAACATAATAAGGACAGTGGTCATGTGCAAACTGGCTGACTTTACACTTACTTGGTGAAAAGGTAACAATGTTCTACTGCAACATGTTGTTTCTTATTGCAATTTTGAAGGTTCACTCAGTCTCGCATAGCTAGACCTGTCCCCACACTTTGAGTTAGCGCTGGAGAAAGGTCTGCCTGAACCCATTATAATTCCATACTATGGGAAAAACATTCTGACATGTTTGTATTTCTTTAAACCAATCACAACTGCTTCACAGCGCTAAGCCCAGAATGCAGTGTCAGTGCTCTTGCAAAACAATGTCGGGGGAGGGTAGCGTGACGGTGAGGGAACTTGTTTTGGTGGAACATTTGCATGCGGGTAGGCGAGCCCTGGTATTAAAATGGCTAAATCCATACAAAAGAAAACATCATATAAAACACTGAAATTTTAGGGTGTAGGTTGCTAGCTCGGAGGTTGTAGTTGTTTTACGCAGGGCACTAAAATGAAGCTTGGAGGTAATATTTTCCATGCAACTCTAGTTTCATAGCAACAGGGATTTTGAAAATGGGAACACACAGATGGTGGAAGGTAAGGAGAATTCTGTCTGCAACAGGCGACCCACAGCAGGTTTAGATGCACGGTCTTAATCATGTGAATCAGACAAGGTAGGGTTCACTTACAGGGACACTTTGCCAATTCTCAACCAGCTTTTTGTCACAACAATGGGGGTAATATGTGTAAATAAACTGTAGTAGACTTCCCTCTCAGTGAAAATCTGCTAGATGACACGTTTCACACTCTGTGTCACATTTCAAGAGTGTGACCATCTTCTCAGCCCTGAAATACTTCTTCAATGTTTTTTTCTAGCATTGTTCTTAATGTTCTTCTGAGCTTAAGATCAGAAATGTAATATCTGTCTTTTCTAGGCTGTCCTGAAGTCACCCATGCCAAGTCGTCTTATTGCCCCAGCACCAGCTTCCAACCAGGGTCATATCCCCATACCCCCCAAGGTGCCTGGTCACATTACTGTCACCATAGAGAGCAGCATTGCTCCAACGCCATCTATACCTGTGGCAACTATCAGTGGTCAGCAGGTGAGTGCACTGTGAGCTGTCTCTGAGTGTGTTATTGTCTCTTTCTTGCTGATGACTGAAGTTGTGAGCGGCCTGTATTGTGTTTCAGGGTCACTCCAGCAACTTACACCACCTGATGCCGGCTAACATTCAGATCATTCGGGGCAGTGCCCCTGCACTGCAGATCGGGACTCCTGCGGTCCCTCCCCAGACCTTCACATCTCATTTACCCCGAGGTATGCATGATGCAATGAGAACAGTGTGCCAGGTGGCTTGATGTTTGCCTCTCCTTGAAACAGTAGTCCATTTACTGCTCAGTTATGGCAGTGCATTTCTCTACATCGGTCTGTTTGTTTCCTGGTAGGCGCTGCTGCAGCAGCTGTTATGTCCAGCTCCAAAACTGTCCTGCGGCCAGCCACTGGAGGAAGCGCAGGCCCCGGCCAGCCCACAGTTCAGCACATCATCCACCAGACGATACAGGTGCTCTGATGTACTTTAATCTAAAAAGGAGTTTATATTCTGTTTGACATTTAGACATATTGTGTGTAACTGTGTCATCCTCCACAGTCCCGCCCTGCTGTAACAACGTCGACAGCTGTGCTTCCAACTGTGGTGGCCCCCATTTCAGCAACTAGAACTCAGTCCCCAGTTATCAGCCCGACAGTCACACACTCTGCAGAGGTGGCACATGGGTAAGTAGCAGTCTAAGAATGTATTGATTAGGGCCTAGGTAGAGATGCTGCATGTGTAAGTACTAGAAAAATAATTTGATGACAAGAAGTTTTGTAGTGAAGTTGAATAAAACAGTCAGTGAAGATCAGTTGTTCAGAGAGGGATGTTGCCACGAAAGAGTCGCTACAAAGTCCCTTCTTTAAGCTGCCTTTGCATTTATACGCAGAACCAAACAATGGTGATGTCATTGTGCTCCAGTGTGTGATTTTAGACAGCGTGCCGGCATTCTGGAGGCAAAAGAGGCGCAACGGGCGTGAAGTCTAACACCAGAGTGTTGGCTTCTAGTGTGACATTTAAGATAGGCATTGGCAGCGCTTTCAAAACAAAACAATGGTAGAAACACAGCAATAACAGTGATTTACCATCCCCATTATATGGTAGCTGATTTTGTCCCCTGCTGCGAGGGTAAGGAGCTCCCTCATTTATTCCCAATTTGCAGACATTTTCGGCTGCTGTTCTTCTTTGAGTTAGCTGCTAACTGCTTTCAGCTGGTGTTGAATGTAACATGCTTGTTTACCAAGCATCTAGTCTCCATAGTAGACCAGTGGTTTCCATCTTTATGGTTTTGTGACTCCTTAAATCAAAGCAGTGTCTACTTTTTCTTCTTGTCAGAGATATTGGCAGTTTAACCAAAGATTTGTTTTTTGTCTCATATTGCTTCATTTGATGGACTTTTTGGAGACTTGAAGATGTGAAAAATGTCAAGTATACAGCTTAGAACAACGCCATGAAGAAAAATGAATTTTTGTGTAACATTTTCATTCCCCCTGGAATTTATTCAAACCTTGCCTGTGCCTGATGCACTAAAGAGGGAGTAATTCTTTTTCCAGGCGTCCAGGGCTGACCATTCACCCTCCTCCGGCCACCGTCAGTATTCAGAGGTCTCAGACGTCCCGTGACACCGCCACACGGATCACGCTGCCGTCTCACCCTGCAATTGGGGCTCAAAAACCTCAGCCTCCACACACCATGACACAGGTTACTGTTATTTGACAGCTGCTTATAAAAATGAAATTTTAAATTTAAACTGTGACTGAACTGAATTTCTGGTTCCCCCACAGAAGCCCATCTTCAGTCCTGTGACACCAGTAGCTGCAGCAACTGTGGCACCAATTGTTGCCACTAACACTGTGCCATCAACAACAACAATAGGTACTTTACTTAACTTTTGTACATTCATTTCTACAAGTGAGGCACGAAACTCAGAAACGTTTGACTTAAGGCACAAATTATCATTCTGACTCACATTATTGATAATCCGGTCTTCTTCATGTTTAGGCTCTGTGCCACATACCCAAATGACCAGTAACACTATTGTCACCATGACGATGGCCTCGCACTCCTCTCATGCTACAGCAGTGACCACCTCTGCCATCCCTGTTGGTGAGTTTGTCTCGTTGGCAGGAACATTGTTGTGTGCTTCACAAGCAGGAGGCATTATCATATTGTGTTTTAACACATCTTTCTCTAAACCATTCCTCTGTGTTATTTACAGCGAAAGTTGTCCCTCAGCCCATCGCCCACTCTTCATCCCGCGTGCAGCCCGACTACCCCGGAGAGAGAACCAACCTCATCCCCATCCCAGGCCATCGGTCGTCTCCTAACCCCGTCACCATGGAAGCAAGAAGTGACAACAGGTGAGCACACAATGTTGGAGCCTCCCTCATCAGCTTCATTTACATGCACTAAATATTCAGTTTTTTGTACTCATTCTGAAAAGACAGTATTCCTACTAAGATATGAATATGCCATTAATATTCATGTGTACATGCAGCCGTGCATACTTGGATTAACATGCCCTAACATGTTGTCTATCGTGTCAAAATATAGAAAAGTTAAACCATTTGTGCCATTTTTGCGTCAGTTTTTTTATTTGATTTAAGTTTTCATGTGGTGACATTGGGCTGGGCGATATGACTAAAATCTCATATCCCAATATAGGTCATTTCATATCCCGATAATGATACCTGTCCAGATTAGCACATTTTAATCCAATGAATGAAAAGTTTATTGTCGCCATCTCGCTGCCTCTCTGCTCTTTCTCAGCGCTGCGGGGCTGAGCCCTCAGTGTGTGCAGCGCAGCAGAGACAGACAGCGGTGGAGTTGACGACAACTAAACTCATTATGTTACTGTAAGTGCCGTAAAAGCTTTGCGAATTAAAAAGCCAAGAAGAGTAATTTATCAATGTTATCCCTGCAAAAGATGGACAGTTTCCAAATGATGAAAAATATTGCTATAAAAAGTGTAGTTTGCGTCATAACGATATAAATGATACAGCGAAATATGAAATGATAGACATTTTTCTCTCGTCACACGATATGTATCGTCATATCACACAGCCCTACGGTGGCAGATTTTTTGGACTGTGCGAACACAGCCTCGCTTTCAGTCCTTCAGCCACCCCCTCGAAAAGGTCGGCGTTGCAATATTTGCACATATCCAAAAACATGTTGCTTGCCAACCCATTAACTCTACTTAAAAGTCATTGTGTTTCTTCTTACGACCAGAAATGTGGGCTTTTCTTCTGGGCATGGACCATCGTTGTTGCAAACACTCACTCACACAAACCAGCTCACAAATGCTCACCTGACACAATTGAGCACCTCTGTCTCCCACACATGTAGCACTGCACTGTATTGCACGTGTGCTACTGCAGTCATTTCATTCATTCCACAGACTGATCCAGCGCAGCACGTGCAGACTAATTAACAGACAGATTAAACAGAGGAGCAGCTCTGTGTGTCTCAGTGTTGCTGGAGAACTTGTGAGTGAGTGAGTGGGGCGGAGCTATGCAGAGACAGTTAGGGAGGAGAGATTCACACTGGTATGGCTTTTCAGAAGAACAGCCTTATGCGGCATGACCCTTTATTAATATAGACGGAGTTGTCTAAATCTACATCTTGCATCGATACATCGTACATAGTCGTTATATCGCCCAGCCTGAATATTCCGAATGTGCTGTACACATGTCCAAAGACTGCTACCAAAACCTTAATAATATCAGCGTGTCCCACATTTTGATCGGAAAATTGAAAATGCGGAAAAAGGCCTCAGCATTTATTTAATCTTTTATTATTTTTTTTTAAATTTTCTTATTTCTGTCTTGATTTATACATTTATTTATTTACTGATACTCTTGTCATTTTTCATTTTCCAAAAAAAAAACAAGGGATAAACCTGCTGATGAAAAAAAGGTTAAACACATCCTGGCTTGAAGAATAAATTGTTTTACCAGCTATTATTGAGTAGTTTTTTTTTGTTTGTTTGTTTTTTTTTAGCAGATTCCATTCATCAAAGGAAAAAATGGAGGGGTTGATTTGTAGTTATGATCTCTATATAAATATGTGGATGTGGAGAGTATGAAGACCATAAAAATCTTGTATTAACATCCATTGCTGACAGAGTTACACAATGAATAAAATGTGATTAAGATGTACTTTTTATTTTTATTTTGTAATGTTTTATTTAACTTGGTTGTTTAATTAACATTGGGGTCCTTTTTTCCGAAGAGACTTGTGTCGAAAAATAACTTATAAACATAAAGTTTAAGTGTAGACGGAAGCACAAATAATTTACAGACACACCTTAAAAGTTTTCACAATTAAGAAAAGCATTTACAAGTGCAAGTGCAAATACACAATTACAACCGTGTAAAATGTTGAAGTGAAATAAACTTCATATGTTTTTGGAGCTCATCTCATTCGTATGCAGCACAGTATCTGAACCCACTTTTACAGCTAATGTTCAAACGTCCTGTGACCTGTAAGGACTGTATTTAAGTGTAACCAGAGAGCAGAGGTAACTGGGCAGTTTTTGCAGTCGAGCCTTATAAATAAACAACATACAGTGCTGCTCCCTTCTGTTTGTCAAGGAGGATGATGTGTTAACCTCAGGAGTACAGATACGTTACTGAGATGACGATGAGCATTGGATTAATCTTGTATGTTTTCTTTTGAAGGCCTTCTGTTCCTGTGCAGTTCCAGTATTTCCTGCCGGCGTACTCCTCGTCATACCCTCTGACACACACCTACACCCCCATCAGCAGCTCTGTATCGACCATCCGACAGTATCCTGGTAAGTCCTGCTAATCAGTGTTGCTTTGCTGGTTGTCACAGCTAAACTTATTATTTGACTTGACATTTAAAAGTCTGGAAATGTTGACAAAATATGCTCAAGTAAGTGCTGTGAAATGTGAAACCCGTCATTTCGTGGCACACAGATCTAATTTGAGCTCTCTTCCCCCTCTCAATAAGTTACTCCTCAAGCTCCGAGTTCAGCGCTGCCCACCCAAGCTGGAGTAGGCGTGGCAACCACTGTCCATCTCAACCACATGCAGCTGATGGCAGTGGATCGGATCGGTCTCCCCTCTGCACAAATCAGCACCCAAGGGATCCAGCCAGCACCAATCGCTGCACAGGGCATTCAGCCTGCGCCGATAGGAGTGCAGGGCCTGCACACGTCTGCACCCATAGGCACACAAGGCCTACAGCAGGCACCAATAGTCACTCAGCAGCAACAGCAACAAGCACAGTCTGAAGCAAAGCCAGGTAATTATGAAACATTGGCTTTTACTAAAAATGACACGGTGTTGATGAGTGCGTCGCCGTGTCGTGGGCTGTTTGTAACACTTGTTTTAATTTCATTCAGGGGTTGTTTTGGCTGATGGTTTTGTCGCGAGCCCCATCAGCAGCACATTCAGCACCACCCAGCCAGTCGCCACCATGGTGCAGGCACACACGCAGGGAGGAGTAGGAGGAGCCCCCACGCTGGTCTCCTCCCCTAGACCCAGCATCCTCCGCAAGAAGCCTGCTAATGAAGGGTGAGTATGAGCACATCATATGAGACAGTGGCTCCAAAACGACGGCAGCATCATGCTGATCCAGTGTGTGATTATACACTGCATCACTGCTTTGCAGATTGAAAAGAGGCATGACAGGTGTGACATGTAACCAACAGTGTCAGCTTCTCATGTTACATGTAACATACCCCTCGACAATGCTTTATGAACAACAACAATGGCATTTACATGTCAGTAACAATCATCCACTGTCCCATGGTTGGTTGCACGTATAACACGGTGTCAAAATGTCACACCTGTGCCGCCCATGATCCTGTCCTGTTTATACAGACACCGCTTCGGTTCTGTTACTATCTTCTGTGACTGATTAAAGGCGAGACCACTTTGTCCCCCCATTCCACGATCGTACCTTACATACAGCACGGCAAGGTGGCATAACGGCATGAAATTCCTGCCTTGAACAGGTGGGGTAAAAGGGGCTTGTGGTTCGCATGCAAGAATACTTTCATATTCATCTCCAAACCCTCTCTTACTTTTTTCTGTAAGGTTTGTTTGTACGAGGGCTCCAAGACAGATTCAGTAAACTCTCCTAACGGCTCAGAGGTGTCTTAAAATGCTTATTTTAACCGGATGAATGCGATTCTAGAGAGTATCGCTTGCTTATTTGCCGAGTCATTCCAGACTTTGGTTACCCTAACCCATCCCTCTGTACATTCAATAACGAATTACCGGACTTTTGAAAGGGGAGCTATGATGCTTTTATTTGTCTTTCCTTTTTCTCATGTCGGATGTTCATATTAAAGGTGGCTAGAGTTTTAGATAATAATGTAATCATTAGGGATGTTCCCGGCGACTAATTTCCCTGTCGACTAAATGAAAATTTTAATTAAGACTAGTCGAAAAAAATGAAAACACTCAGAAAACAGTCAAAATTTAGCTCAATTTATTGTTGAGTATTTGAAACATTGTCCCAAAAAATACTGTGTGCATTAAGAGCTCTTTGAAGCCTTTAATCACAATCCTCAACAACCATGTTGACACTTTGCGCCGTGCGGTATGAATGTGAACATGATGGCATTAACCATTAAACTAACATCTAAAATAAATAATAGCCCCTGAAATGTGGGGCACATTGAACCTTGCAGATAATCCCACAGAAATGATAGCAGTTCACTTTAAAGTTAATAAAACATCTAAATTATAATTAAATTTCAGCTGAAATGGTGGTGACATCAACTCATGTGACTGTAGTGTAGTTTGTGTATAGCCTGACATTAGGTTTTTACTTCTGGTGATTGCATTTAGGCTTCAGTAATCCTGAAAATGGTGTTCATTGGTGAAGATTGTCTCGCTGAACAAAATGTTTATGTATCATAGACGTTTGTTTGCCACAGAGCTTATTTTCAGCAGTAATTAAATCCAATGGAAAATCCCACAGGCTTTTTGGTAAGGGAACCAAAACTAGATCCCTGGAGAACTCTGTGATGCAACAGAGATGCTGAAATATGCAAGACCCAGAAAAGCTGACCAATCAGACCAGATTGGGCTTTCTTAGGAGGGTGCTTAAAGAGACAGGCACTAAAACGGAGCATGTCAGACAGTGTGAATAAAGGTGTTCTAGCACAGACAGCCTGAGGAAAATAAGGTGTTTCTTAAAGATTAAAGCATGTAACATGTTTTAGTAGAAACCAAAACTACAAGTATGAACCTGAAAATTACCATAATAGTCTTTAAACATGTCTTTTCAGTGGCACACGTTAACTTTATTACAAGTTGACTCCAAATAAAACTTGACAGAAACTGAAGTTTAAACAATTATTCCTTTTACCAAATCGTTCCTGCTTGTCTTTGTGTTTCAGTTGTGTTCGTAAGAACCTGATCCCAGCTCAGCCCAGTGAGCCCAGTGGTGGCAGAATCGACAGTGGAGTGAGAGGAGCAGGATCTCCCCGCCCTGCAGGGTGAGCCGCTGTCACAATGATCACATCAGTTACTTCGTTTTCAGTGTGTTATGATATGAGTGTGTGACCTGACCTTTTGATTCCTCTCTCAGTGTGAAACCCAAAGCCGAGGTCCACATGGCAGTGGCCCCTCCTGTCATGGCTACAGTAGAAGCACTGCCTTCTCAGGGAGGAGAGCAGCAGGCTGTGTCCTCAAATGCTCAGCACCTCGCCCAAGCCATCCCCACCATGCTCGCCACGCCAGGGCCTGTACCTCCCTCTCAGCCCTCCACTGTCCTCTCAGCCCTTCCAGCAGCCATGGCTGTAACTCCTCCCGTTCCTGCTTCAATGGCCAACACTGTGGCCTCCCCCACTCAGCCTGCGGCCAGTAGCACTGCAGCCTGTGCTGCCAGCTCTGCCTGCCCAGATCTGAAAATTAAACAGGAGGTGGAGACCATGGACACCTCCCAGCCAGGTGAGGAGCAAATCAATCATGAGTGAAATTACTTAATGTTAAATTATAGGAAACTGAAGACTGTCTTTATCTCTTTCCCTCAGATCCCAATGCGAACCTGTCATCAGCCCCAGCCCTCACCACCCAGGCCTCCACCCTGAACACTCCTGCCACAGGAGATCTGATCCCCGGGGCCTCCCCAAGGAAGAAGCCCCGCAAGCAGCAGCATGTTATTTCTACAGAGGAGAGCGAGATGGTGGAGACCAACAGCACAGATGAAGAGAAGGCCCCAGGCAGGCCCATCACCGGCAGGGCTGAGAGGCGCGAATCTCCACCAAGGGAATATGTTGGTATGTAATTTAATGCCATCTATCGTTGCAGTGATGATGATGATGTTTGTCATCTGCACTTGTTCAACGCTTGTTTTTTCCTTCCAGATGAGGAAGGAGTGCGTTATGTACCAGTCAGGCCTCGACCACCTGTTACTCTGCTGCGCCACTACAGGAATCCCTGGAAAGCTGCCTACCACCACTTCCAGAGGTACAGCGACATCCGGGTCAAAGGTCAGTAGCTCCCTGCTCTCAGGTGGAAATGCTTTAATAGCAAATGAGAATTATAGCTGCTGCGCAGCGATGGGTCGGGTCCAGGCATTTTTAGGCAATTCTGAGCAACAAGCATAAGAATTGGAAGACATTTAGGAATTTAGCAACACAATCTGCCTTTTGCATCAGCTGAGGCTTGAACTCACAACCTCTGAGACTAAGGATCAATTTCTATCTCACTGAGCTAATTAGTCAGTGATAATTCATGTGTAGCTTCACAAATTGACTAAGCCAGACGTGCAGGTTTAGCAGCTGTCCATGCATGGAAAAGCAGATTTCAAACCACTGTAAAAAATTCAGTTATCGAAACAAAAATCTGAATATACACATATTGCATCTAGACAGCATGGAGATGTTGGTCATTTATTTTAACAATGATTGATTTGCTCCATAAGTGAAAAATTGCCATTTTTACATTGACTCCAACTGTTCACATTAGAGCAAAATTCAAAATGCTGTCAAAAATTCAGTTTTTGAGATACACTTCTGAAATTTGCCACACATCATCTACCATGACTCTAGAATTTTGTCATTTTTTTCATGAACATTGAAGATTTATTTAGCAAAAATTTGCATGTATATGTTTACAGTACCGTTTACAGTCAAACATTTTGATGCACTGTAGGCTCAATTTTTGATAAATGAAAAATCTGAGAAACATAGTTTTTGTAGGACAGTCTGAAGATGCTCTGTAGCAAGTTTGGTGTCAATTGAGCAAAAATTGTGGGAGGAGATAGGTTTAAGAAGTTTTACAGTTTTTGAAAAAACAGTGATGAACTTCATATTTTTTAATAGGTTTAAATGTACAAAAGTTTCTTCAGTATTGGGGCTACAGTTTGATGAAAGTTGGGAAGTTGTAGCACATATGGTTGATTTGTTATACAGCTGAGGATATCTGGCATGAGACTGGACCTTTGTGCAAAGTTTGGTGAGTTTTCACCCATGGGAAGTATGATTTCCTCGGAAGAAGAAAGAAGAATACCTAGGATTACAGTAGTATCCTAGCAGCTTAGCTGCCCGGACCCTAATGATGGATGGCAGCTTGATGTGCCTCCACGCTGGTAACAGCCATGTCCAGAGGCATTATGTTTTCAGGTTGTCTTTTCTCATGAATGAATGTCTAATAGGGTAAAATGATGAAGTGATGACATTTTGTATCTAGAAGGTCAAAGGTCAGGTTCACCGTGACATCATAATGTTCTTTTCTGGCCATTGTTAAACACCATGACTCAGGAACAGAGACATTAGGTCAGATGCTGAATTGGTGACACTACTCCTGAGTTTGTAGCTTCACTGTAGCAACATCCATATCTAAAGTGTTGTTTACTGTCATGGCAACATACACGTCTGGACAGACAAGGACGTAAACTGCAGCTAGACTGGTTGGTGGAGGCGTACAACAGCGAGGCGGTAATTGTAGTTGTTTCTAACAACAACTGTTTTCTTTTCTCTCAGAGGAGAAGAAGGGCAGCTTACAGGATATGGCGAACCAGAGAGGAGTGGCATGCAGAGCACAGGGCTGGAAGATTCACCTGTGTGCTGCACAGCTCAGGCAGTTGGTGAGTGCTGACCCCAGACCTGCAGCAATATAACTCTGAAGTGTCGTTTATCTGAACTGTCTTCTCCAAGTGATCCAGATGAAGGCTACGTTTGGTTTGTGGCTAAACAGACAGACAGGTTACATATTAGCCCAAATGAATTCTGACTGTGCTGGAGAGGAATTTACGTCCCCAGAGGTATGCTGCACAACACACTAACGAGCAACAAAAACAAAGCGACTGCTCGACTTGAAGCTACAGTATCTCAGTCCACTGAGGGGTTTCTGACTGACTGTTCGAATTTCCAACTGTCAAGGGGCAGCCCTAAAATTTATGTTGAACTTCTTGCAACAATCTGATCACAATAATGTAAGACACATATTGGTTAGAATTAAAATATTCCAACAAAAAGACCACATTCACAGACCACAAAATGGTGACAGCTTACTACTTAATATTCATGTTTTGACTGGACTTCTGTTAACACACTGTGTTTGTTACTTGATCTGTAGTCGAGTTTAGAACATGACGTGTACAGCCGCCTCTCCACCCTCCAAGAGGGCCTGATCCCTAAGAAGAGAGCAGGCTCCGATGACGACCTTCACCGAATCAACGAGCTTATACAGGTAAGATTGTTGCTACAGACTGAGACTTTAAAATGTACATTTATCTACTCAGATATTTGCAGTCATTGCCATAGTAACCGTGTACTCCCAACGCTCTCAGAGACAGGAAAAAACAGTACGCTGCTTCACACACAAGTGAGTTGAAGAGCGAGTCTGTTGTGTTAACTGCGTTGCGTCTGTTTTTATAAAAGTACTTTTGTTACTGTATCTCAAATGTGGCTTTGACTTGCAAATGAAAGCGTGTTGGCCATTTCATAGAAAATACCGAGATGTATATCGTGTTATCGCCATTCAGCCTGTAAATACCGAGATATGAATTTTTGCCCATGTCACCCAACCCTTGGACCAACCACTGCTGGGAGATAAAAAAAATGTGTTACTTACTGTGCGCCGCTTGTGATTTATTTTACTGGGAATATCGCTACAGACACCCAGTTTGTTATACTGCAAATGCAAGGGCTTATATCATAGGATCAGTCAACACTGTGTTCATTCATACAGCGATAAATGGTAACTTAACAGACATTTATTTGAATTAAAACCTTGAGATCATGACTTTTAAGTCAAATAAAGTTGCTAAGTTTTGTTAAAACTTCAAAATTTTTGTGACATTGATTGACACTTATAAGGTTTAAGCGGGAGTTATAGTTGTGTGCAGACCCTATGCACATGGCCTACGCCGTTGTGAGCATTTTTACTTGTGTGGTGGTGTGTCCGTGTTGCTCTGCAGTTACACCTCCAAAACACTTGTAGGCAGCTGAGGTTTCTGTGAAGTGCTGTAAAGATTAGTTGATTCAAAACACACATTAAACACACATTAAATATGGCTTAATAGAGACAGTTTCAAACACAAGTACACAAATCAGCTTCACTGTAACTCGCAGCATTCAGAGACAAACACTTGTCTTTACCTGGACACATTTTCCCCACAAATACAACATGCTAACGGTATTAGCACAAGCCTATGGCATTTTACATTGTATAAATTAGCCTGGCAGCCAGCGACCTTTCTTTCTTCTCATATAAAACCAGGGACAACAGCAACATTTAACAAAGTTAACGACACACAATTTGGCTCCATTACAACTCACAAGGTTCACTGACAGAACAACTGTCAACATGTTTTCCAAACAAATACAAAATGCTAACATTATTAGCGTCAGCCTATGGCATTTTACATTGTATAAATTAGCCTAGTGACGAGCGGAGATTTCCTCTTCTCATATGAAACCTGGATAAATCCCAAAGTACAAATCTCTTAAGGATCAACGTAGAGCCTACGCCTTAACTACAGCATCGATTCAACACAGAAGTATAAATTCCCTATTAGGATGCCTGCTGTTACAATGCAAAACCTGCTCTCTCTTCACAAATCTTTGTGTGTTTGTCCTCAGGGTAACATGCAGCGCTGTAAGCTCGTGATGGACCAGGTGACCGAGGCCAGAGACACCATGATGAAAGTGCTCGACCACAAGGAGAAAGTGCTGAAGCTGCTCAACAAGAACGGCACCGTCAAGAAGTCCTCCAAACTGAAACGTAAAGAACGGGCATAATCTCGAACCTCCTCTCCTCTGTCGACAACCACCGCCGCCCGTCTCTGAAGGGGCGAAGGAGCTACTCAGAATTTGGTGCTATGATTTGCTGCATACAATCGCACGCACCCTCCCTATCTGCCTGAGAGCAGACAGAGAGAAGTGACGGGAAGGCTTTGAGAAGCAGACGGCCCATCAGGAATAGGTTCTCATTAACGACCCGACGCACATATTGAGCGTGGAGCATTGTAGGTTGCATTAGAGTGGCCAACTGGACGGCCCTGTCACTGTTTCCCATTCTTTTTTTGTTCATTTTTGAAGACCCCAGAGACCATTTTTACTAACTTAATTTCTGCCTCTTCTTTTAAGACGATGTTGGAACCGGCATGTTGTGATGGTTGGCACTAAATGCAGTTGCAGCAAAAACAGACGAAAGTATTTCAGTGAAGGTGATCCACCTGAGAGTTGTTGGATGGTCATTGACAAAGAGTCCTTTAGTAAGATGTGTGTATACAGACTAATCGCAGTCGTGCTCTTTTCATTAATCTGTGCCTTCATTTTGTCGTTGTACATGAAATGGACGGGGACACGTGAACGCTGTTCCACGTGCTGTTAAAATATTCTTAAATTATCAGTCAGAGAAAAGTGTCAGGTCAGTTTCACTGCTTCCCCTTTCTCTCCAAACACCCTGCACCTGCATTTTTCTAGTTTTGATTTCTTCATCACAGTATGGGTAAACAGTTACCTAATGTCAGCCACAAGTTTAGGTGTAATCTAAAAGATGATGAGAAACTTATATGGGTTTAGATTTTAAAAAAAAAAGTACTAGATGAGAAACTAAATGTGGCAAATTGAATTGAGTTAATATCCACAACAATGCTCTTAAAGGATGAATAGTGTCCTTAGATGGTGATTTGAAAGCGAGAACATACTGCATATGCATAAAGCCAAGATGACTTTACATTTAAACTGCCGTGAGTCGACAACTTAATCCAAAGTGAACGGATGTCATGGTGGTAAAAACAATATTTTCATTTGGTTTTAGGAAGTGAAGTGCTTGAAGCGAGTTCCCTCGTGTGATCATACTGGTGGATTGAATTCATGTAAATCACTGTAAATGTGCTTTTGGTTTTTTCCATTGACCTGGTTTTTCTTTCAAGTTTTGTACTCAATGAAACATTTTGTGCCGTGTGATGTGCTGCTGCTTCATTTTGCAGAGTGTAACGATAATGACGTTATGAGATGAAGTGAGCCTGAAACATCCAGCTATTGTACATTGTTTTCGTCTGTGTAATTATAGTAAAGATACTTAAACAATACCAGATACACTGTTAAGTCTGTATATCACTGTTTGCTATAAGCGTGTGTTTTTGATACTTGGTTGAAAGATTTTTTTACAGTTTTCACTTTAATTTCTCATTGTGATGTCTGTTTTTTATAGCCATTTAAACCCATTTTGGCTAATGTCATGTCTTTGTATCTCAATAATAACTTTATATCTCAAAGTAGCAACTAATTGCAAAATAATGAGAAGCTCTTGAGATAATGACTTTTCTCAAAATAATGATTAAGTATCTCAAAATAATGGGAAACTTATTAAAAATCACACAGTATCTCAAGGTAATTACTTATTATTTTGAGATATATGTTGTCATTTTGAGAAAGCTCATTATGTTTTAATAATAAGACATTTCCACATAGTAAATCTGTTTGGTAAAGGTTCTGATTATTTTGAGATGTTGAGTAATTATTTTTGANAAAGTTTCTCAATATTTTTGATACTATATCATTTTGAGATACTAAGTTATTATTTCAGTAAAGTTTCTCTTTTTTTTAGATACTTAGCCATTATTTCAAGAATTTCTCATTTTTTAGTCTGTATTTTGAGAATGTTTCTCATTATTTCCAGATACTAAGTCCTTATTTTGAGAAAGTTTCTCATTATAATTTGACATACTAAGTCATTATTTTGAGATACTAAGTCATTATTTTGAGAGAGTTTCTCATTATAATTTGACATACTAAGTCATTATTTTGAGAGTTTCTTAGTATTTTGAGATACTAAGTCATTTTGAGAAAGTTTCTCATTTTGAGATACTAAGTAATGACTATTTTGAGATACTAAGTCATTATTTTGAAAAAGTTTCTCATTTTAATTTGACATACTAATTATTTTGAGATACTAAGTCATTTTGAGAAAGTTTCTCATTTTGAGATACTAAGTGACTATTTTGAGATACTCAGTCATTATTTTTGAAAGTTTCTCATAATTTGACATACTAAGTCATTATTTTTGAGAATTTCTTATTATTTTGAGATACTAAGTCATTATTTTGAAGAAGTTTCTCATTATAATTCGACATATTTATTATTTTGAGATACTAAGTCATTTTGAGAAAGTTTCTCATATTGAGATACTAAATGACTTTTGAGGTACTAAGTCATTATTTTGAGAAAGTCTCATTATTTGGGGATACTAAGTTAACAATTTGAAAAAGTTTCTCATTATTTTGAGATACTAAGTCATTATTTTGAGAAAGTTTCTCATTATTTGGGGATATTAAGTTAACATTTTGAGAAAGTTTCTCATTATTTTGAGATACTAAGTCTTTATTTTGAGGAAGTTTCTCATTATTTCAAGAAACTAAGTCCTTATTTTGAGGATGTTTCTCATTTCGAAGATATTTTGAGAAAATTTGTCATTATTTTGGGAAACTAAGTCATTTTGAAAAAGTTTCTCATAATTTGAGATACTAAGTCGTTTTGAGAAAGTTTATCATTTTGGGATATTAAGTCATTTTGAGAAAGTTAGAGATACTAGGTTTATTTTGAGAAATTTTTTTATTTTTTAGAGACTAAGTCATTATTTTGCGAAAGTTCCTCATTATTTCAAGATACTTAGTCATTATTTTGAGAAAGTTTCTCATTATTTCGAGATACTAAGTCATTATTTTGAGAAAGTTTCTCATTAATTTGAGATACTAAGTTTATTTTGAGAAAGTTTCTTATTTTTTTTAGAGATGTAAGTCATAATTTTGAGAAAATTTCTCATTATTTCGAGATATTAAGTCATTATTTTGAGAAAGTTTCTCATTATTTTGGGATATTAAGTCATTTTGAGAAAGTTTCTCTTTATTTCGAGATACTAAGTCTTTTTTTTTTTTTAGAAAGTTTCTCATTAATTTGAGATACTAAGTTTGTTTTGAGAAAGTTTATTTTTTTAGAGATGTAAGTCATAATTTTGAGTTTCTCATTATTTCGAGATACTAAGTCATAATTCTGAGAAAGTTTCTTATTATTTTGAGATACTAAGTCGTTATTTTGAGAAAATTTCTCATTATTTCGAGACACTAAGTCATTATTTTGAGAAAGTTTGTTACGTCTTAGATACTAAGTGTATTTTCAGGAGGTTTCTCATTATTCTGAGATACTAAGTTATTTGGAGAGTTTGTTATTTTTTGAGATATGAAGTCAATATTTTGAAAGTTTCTAATTTTTTTAGTCTGTATCTTGTGAAGGTTTCTCATTCTGAGATACCAAGTCTTTATTTTGATAAAGTTTCTCATTATTTCGAGATACTAGGACATTATTTTGAGAAAGTTCGTAATTGTTTTAGATACTAAGTTATAATTTTGAGAGTTTTTCATGATTGTGGGAAAGAAGGTAAGTATAAGAAGGTAAGTTCCCTTAATTAATTCCCTTAAGACAAAGTATTTCTGTCGATATATGTCAATATTTTAAAAATGTTTTTCATCATTTCACAATACTAAGTCATTATTTTTCAAAAAGGGTTTCTGATTTTTTTTTAGATACGAGGTCATTATTTTTGAGAGTTTCATTATTTTTAGATAAGTCATTTTTTGAGAAATTGTCTCTTTTTTTAACAATAATTTTGAGAAAATTTCTTATTTGAGATACTAAGTAATTATTTTGAAATGTCATTATTTTGAAACATTTCCTAAAGATATGAAGTCATTCTGTCAACACGTTAGGTCATTATTTCGAAAAAGCTTTTCATTATTTTGCAATCCTAAATCATTATTTTGAGGTAGTAAGTCATTATTTCAAGGAAGTTTTTCGTAAGGACTGAAAGGATTCTTTTTTTTAAATCACACTGGCCGAAATGGGCTTTCATAATTTATAATATAAACCATTCCAAACTGGATATCCAGACCACACCTGACGACAGATAGTGAGATTGCTGGATCACTGCTTTACAGTACAATTAGCATTATCATGGGTTATCTTAAGGAGCATGCTCAGACACTTAAATTCACGTCATAGTTCATCATCTTTACATATTAGGAACCTACAGTATATCACTTTAGTTTGATAGTATACACAAACAATGTAATCTGTCAGTATTGTCCCAGATCATACAGCTTGTATAGATTGCATGAGTTGTTTCTGTTTCATATTTTCACATCTCCAACATGAGCTCAGTCATTTCTCTTTATGATCTGCGGTTTACAACATAATTGCCTTGGAGCACAGCACAACGTGTCGGCAGAAATTGACCTATGACGGCTGTTTTATGGATCAGGAAAAGTGACTTACCGGCATTTGGGTAATCTGCATTCCTCTTTTAGCGTGATTTTTGACATCAGCTGACCAGTGTCTAGTGTTTATCATTATTCAGTATTTCTAAGAAGAAAAAAAGCAAAGATTTTATTGTGTCTTGTTTTCATAATGTTAAATTTGATTGCCATATTTAACAGTATATAGCAGTACCACTATAGCCTTGTCTCTACTTGTCAATCATTGTGAAGCCAGGTGTGGATTATTTAGTAGCCAGACTATTAATTTAAAGGGGAAGAACATCATTATTTATATATTTATCAGCAAATTATTGTGATATATAAAAAACAAACATTCAAGATGATAGTCTGTGGTGACAGTAAGTATTTGTCTTGAGTCTGGTGGTTAGTGACACAGGGTGGCTCTACCTTTGCAGGAGCAAAGTCAAAGGGCCATAAAGGGGTGTTTGCTGGGAAAACTCCCTGCTTCCTGCTTTACCGTCATTCAAGGAACAGTTCCCCCAGCAGCAGCAGCAGCAGCAGCAGGGGCTTCCACCAAAGACAAATCTCAGGTAAGAGTTGACACGATACATGAAGGTGCCTTTAAATCTGTACCTTTCAGTGTGATCTCATAGTGATAGTCTACATCAAATCATTAATAGAAGTGTCTTGAAATTTAAAGTCATGTTGATATCATGCTAAATGTAGATTTTTTTGAACTGTGTTCAAGGTGTCCAATCAAAATGAAAAGTCTGTTATGTTCAAGGACCCCAAAACTGTCTTGTAATTTGAAGTTGTTTTTTTATTGTAATTACTTCACAATCTTGTAAGGCAATTAAAAATATATGATAGCTACAATATGTTGCTTCAAATACATTAAGGCATGGTCCATACTATTAAAGGCTACTCATGGGTATCAGGTATTTGCAGCAGTGGAAGAAGGACTCAGATCCTTTAAGTAAAAATAGAAATACCACTCTTAAAATACTTCATTACAAGTATAGTCCATAATTCAAAATGTCACTTAAGTACAGAAGTATTATCAGCAAAGTGTTCTTAAATAATGAAAGTTTAATATTATTATAGAATATTATATTGTCCTTTTTCTGTCACTTAAAAATACATGTAAGAGCATTTTAATGTTGGAGTTGGTTGTTGTGGAGCTAAATTTAGATTATTGTTTTTATGTAAAAGGTAACTTCAAGTGTCTCAAAATAATGGATGTAGATCATCAACTGATTTGCGGACTCCTGTTTTAAAGCCCAGAGCCATCTTAGATTTTTGGAGCGACTAAAGACCATATTTGGACGAGAGGTTGGAGCTAACTGTAATGCTAGCTGCTTTGTTATCTATGATTAACTTTGATATGCTTTGATATGCTAATGCTATTTTTTGTTGGTTTAGAACCGTTAAACAAAATGTGCTTAACTGAAAAACTAAACAACTCTTCAGAGTGTCTTTGATGAAGAAGACTTTTTTAGACGACCAGAATGTTACAATTTCATAAACTGAAAACACCCTAAAAAAGCAACAGCTATGGCTTTGCCTATACTCTATGAATCTGGGGTTAGGCCATGGTAATGTTATCTAACCAATGTTGTCTCTGTAGTAGCTTCTTGTCAACGGGCAGCACCCACCTGTAACTCAAAGCGGCCACACCCTAATTATGCCTAACGTTAAGCATTAATAACATTTACCAGGGAAGTTATATAAGAATTCACTCTCTCTAATGTGTGTATTACACACTTTCATTTCTGTTTCTAACCCATTCCACATTGTATTGCTGTAAACATTTTATTTCT